TTCCTTTGGAATAAACCCAGAGGAATGGAAACCATAAAGTTGAAGGTATATCTGTACCCCAATGTTCATTGCAGCACTCTTTACAATAGCCAAGAGTTGGAATCAGCCCAAATGTCCATCATCAGATGACTGGATACCGAAAATGTGGTATATATACACAATGGAATATTACTCAGCTATAAAAACGAATGAAATACTGCCATTTGCAACAACATGGATGGACCTTGAGAGAATAATATTGAGTGAAACGAGTCAGGCAGAGAAAAAGAAATACCACATGTTCTCACTCATTGGTGGGAGCTAAAAATAAACAAATTAATTCACCCACATACACACACAAAAAAAAACCAAGGGGGGGAAGAAGATATAACAACTATACTTTTTTGAAGTTGTTACAACAAGCAAACGGAAAGGACATTCTTGGGGGGGAGGGGAGAGAGGGAGGAGGGAGGGAGGTGTCGGTGATGGGCCATAATAATCATATACATTGTATATTGACAAAATTAAAATTTAACGGAAAAAAAAAAAAAAAGAACTGAGATGACTGGGATCTGCCAAGGGGAGGATTCAGGGCCTTGGTGCTCTGGGAGTAGGTAATCCTACTTGGAACTTAGAACATGTGAGATCCTCATAATCTGAACCTGGAAAATTTGATTCAAACAAACAACAGACAATTTTGGTGCCCTGGTAAATTACCCATACTCAGAACAAAGAGAGGAGACACGGCCTTTGTGCTTGGGAGTAGTATTCATACTCTGAACATAAACACATTAATTCCAACAAGTATAGGAGACAAGGTCTTGATGTCCTTAAAGTAGGTGCCCAAAGCTGGAACCTTGGCTCACCACATCAAGTGGGCAGTGGAGACAAGGCTTCGGAGACCTGAGAGTAGTGGGCAATACACAGAATCTACAAAAAGGGAGCTTATTCCTCAGTGCCAAGATAGTTTCCCAGAACTAGAACTTGAGATCCAGCAAAAAGAGAACAACCTTGGTGCCCTGGGCATACTTGCCAACTCCCAGATTTTAGAGTTCTGGGACCCACAAACCAGAATATATGAGGTCTTGTTGCCTGGGAAGGCATTTCCACTATTGAAAACACACAGACCTGAAATCCCACAAGCAGAGGACAAAAGGCTCATGCTCAGACTAGAGAGTCCATATGTGGGCAAATACTTCCACACTCAGACTAGAGAGCCAGGGTGTGACAAGCAAAGAAGACACAGCTTGGTGCCCTTGAAATAATTGTCTTTCACTTATCAAGGAGAAGAGACAGTTTTTGGCACCCTAGGAGTAAGTTTTCATATTTGAAAAAAAGAGATCAGGGATCGAACGTGTAGAGACAGACCTTGTGCCCTGGGAGTAGTTGCTCATAATTTCAACCTGAATGGCCTGGATTACATCAAGCAGAGGAGACATGGTTTTGGTGCCCTGAATATATGTGCCCATACTTGGAACATAGATGTCTGGATTTCATCAGGAAGAGATGAAATGCTTGTACCCAGAGTGTAACTACCCATGCTCAGAACAGAACCTGGTGTACTAGTCTGTTTGGGCTGCCATAATAAAATACCACAGACTGCATGACTGAGTCACCTTGGGCTGCTATAACAAAGTATCATAGACTGGGTGATTTACAACACAAATTTATTTGTCACAGTTCTGGCATCTGGAAGTCCATGATCATTGTGCCAGCATGATTGTGTTTTGTTGAGGAGCCTCTTCCTTGTTGTAGACTACCATCTTCTCATTGCATCCTCACATGGCAGAAAGAGGGCAGGAGAGCTCTCTGCGGTCTCTGTTATATGGTCACTAATCTCATTCATGAAGGCTCCTCCCTCATGACCTAATCACCTCCCAAAGGCCGCACCTCCTAATACCATCACATTGGAGGTTAGAATTTTAACATATGAATTTTGGGTTGGCCAGTTAGCTCACTTGGTTAGAACATGGTGCTGGTAACATATGAATTTTGGATTACACAAACATTTTGTCTGTTGTAAAAACAGAAATTTATTTTCATGAGTTCTGGAAGCTGAAAGCCCAAGACCA